TATGTATGTATGTATGTATGTATTTATCTATGTATGTATGTATGTATTTATCTATGTATGTATGTATGTATGTATGTATTTATGTATCTGAGTATTAACCATGTCTGTATGAGGCTTGGGGACCTATGTGATGCTGCACTGTGGCTAAGGCTTAGAATGGAACTCAGAAGTAGAGCACTTGCTTACCATGTGACCTGGGTTCGATCCTTGGCATCATCAACATGTGGGCTGATGACAGCTGAACTCTGACCCCGTGCCCTGAGGCTGACTTCTGCTTGGCTGCTCAGAACGGTGTAGAAGAACAGGAAAGACAACAGTTGACATCAAAGAGGTCTGGAGTTCAATCCTTCCTCCATCCTGCCCGTGATCTTATATTCACTCAACAAATAGTCTCTGAGTGTCAACTAAGTGCAGGCACTAAACTGGCAGAGGCCGGTGGGTACCACGGACCCGCATCAAGCCTGCTCTGTGAAAGGACATAAAAGGACCAAGTGACAGAGCAAAAGCATTACACAAAGTAGGATGAGGGGAGGTCGTGGTTGAACATAACAGGTGGGGATGAAAGGAGTAAAGAATGTATTGTATTGATGGACCTGTCAATTAAAAAGCCTATGGCCTATGGCTTAGGCAGGAAATAGAAGGTGGGGCATCTGGGAGGAGAAAGAATTCTGGGACAGAGCCAGTCGAGGAAGCTGCCTGGGAAGATGTGATGAGACAGACACATGGTACCTGAGCACAGGTAACCAGCCACGAGGCAGAATGTAAGTTCAAATAAATGGGTTAAGTTATGATTCTAGTCAGAGAAGAGCCTAGCTAGATGGCCAAGGTACTTACAAGTATATTTTGAGTCAGAGCCTCATTTCTGGGAGCATGGGACATGGGAATAGGAGGAAGAACGGACCATAACGTTACAGGAGGTGAGGACCACTGAGGCAGAGAGGTCAGGGGAGGGTTCTCAGGGAGGTGGCATTTACAGGAAAATGAGGTGGCGATCACCATGAGATGAGGGAACCACATTTGCAAGGCCTGAGGTGGGTAAAGGCTGTGCTAAGGCCAACGGAGACCGAGGGTTACCAATGCACCAAGAAGCCATGGGCCTTTGAGGCAGGGCAGGGCGTAGATTGACTGTGATATGTGTGTTAGAACATACAGACCACGGGCCAGGTATGGTGGGGCATGCCTATGATCTGAGTAGTAAAGACACTGATGTTGGGGCATACTAAGTTCATGGCTGGCCAAGAATACATGGTGAGTTCTGGACTTCAAGCTGAGAACCTACCAGAAAAAAGGAAGGAAGAAAGGAAGGAGGGAAGGAAGGAAAGAAGAGCTGGGTATAAAAGGCCAAAAGGCCAAGTAGCACACACACACCCCACTCGATCTCTGAGTTCAGGCCAGCCGGGTATACATAGTGAGATCATTTCTCAAATACAAAATCTATAGTGAGAGGGGAGAGGCATGACTGTTAACATTTCAGCCATAATAAAATGTATAGTTGGGGTGGCAGGTGAGATGGCTTAGTGGGTAAAGGGGCTTGCTGCCAAGCCTGACAACCTGAGTTCAAACCCTGGAATGCACATGGTGGAAGGAGACATCTGACTCCTACAAGTCACCCTCTAACTTCCACACACATGCTGAGGCACACCCCCCACCCATGCACCCATCACACACGTACACAAATAATTACAGGTACAAATCTTAAATTATAAACAGAAAAACCAACCCTGGCTCTGCTTTCTGGGTTGGAGGTGGGGAGCGGATAACTGGGAAGGGGAATCCCAAGTGCAGGTAGGTCAGTCAGTAATGAGC